ATGCGTGGAAAATCATTGGCCTTTATGTATTCCTCTATTAGGTATTCCATAACGTTCAGTGTTATTACTGTGCTTCAAAATGTATAGAAAAAAAAACTAACAATAAGAGGAGTCACGCGCCAGTATATCACGTGTCACTGTCGAAACAAAATGTGTTATGGATCGTAACAAAGGCCGACTTCGTTCATATTTTGCTGCTAAAATATAGACATTAAATATGACGGTCGAAAAACACCTATTACTTTTAAAACCTAACTTTCGAAAGTTATTTTGAAAGAAACACCCGTAAAATCATTACAATGCGGATAACCACGGTTGGTGCAAACGCGTTTGCACACAAAGGTGCTTTCTAATAACATCCTTCGGCGTCACAATGGATTCAAAAGCTTTACAAGCAAATCTAAATAAGATAAATCTATATTTAATTGGACTGGCATCTATTTTAACTGACTTCGAATTTTGCAAAAGAAAATATGCAGTGAGAGATACATAAGAAAATCGATTTCAATTAGGCCATAGTTCCTGTAGAAATTTGGAAAAGTAAAACGTGTCTAGATGAGTTATTTATTGCGACACTTTAGACAGTACGATCCATTTTTTAGAATTTCTCTAAATACCTGTGATAAATTAGTTGTACAAAAGGCCCAACTGTCTCATAAATACAGATGTAGGTCGAAACTTACAGACCTATATTTTCTTTTCGAAAAGTAAAGAATGATGTAATGCACAAAAATGCATACAAAATCGTGGACTATAATTTAGTGACATATGCAAATTTCGTCTTTTTGTTTTGAAATATTTATGGGCTTGCAACGTTGTGCTCTCATTGTATAATTTAATATCTCGAACTGAAACTGTCGCCCAGGTTTTCTCCTCTGCAGGATTCCACAATGATTTTGCAAAAAAAAGCTGTATATCATTCAGAACATATATTATAATACAATACATGGGAGCAGATCGAATAGAAAACGCGGTATGACCATGAGCGTGAAAAACGTAGCGATTTGAAGAATACTGCTTCATTTAAGGTCAAGGAGTAGCGTGGCTAATTGAGCTCACAAATCACGCGCAGTAAAATCTATCTATGGATGAGAATATTAACCTTTAACTTGGCGCACACGCGTAGATGAACTTTTGCAACTTACTTCTTAAGATACGAAAGCAATTTAAATAAACACGCAAACGTGCAGATGCATAGAGAGATCCATTAATAAACTGCAAGTACATCTAAGCGAAGTAATCGTTTCTCATCGCGTTTGAGAAAAACTTTATTATCCCGCAATCATAGTTTCTTTGTAAGAAGTATTGCGGGTGACCTCGACTTTGGTTGCAACAATCGTGCTGCATTATTGCGCTTCGCAATTGCGATTAATTTTATACTGACTCCACAAAGATAAAATATAACGCTAGGGAATAAAATATAAAATATCTGCTTGTAAATAATACTCTAAAATCAATCAATTGCAACTTCTACGATGATGAGTTGCCTTTCTGGCACTTTGTTATTCGATATTTACCAACATACAAAATTGCTATTTAATGCTATTTATATGCAAAAGTATGACATTTCAAAACCTGCGGCTGCAATTTTAATAACATATCCTTTAATTAATTTAAAATTAAATTTTTTCCAAGATTAAAAATTACGATAATTCGCAATTATGAACAATTGAAAGTAAAAACATATTTGCGAACTTCCAAGCTTCGATGTACTCGACATGTAATTATATAATGTAATGAAAAAATCATTATTAATTAATTACTTAACGCAGCTAAAATCAAATATGTTTTATTTTTTAGAGCTAGATAAATTTCATACATTTTTATATTAAAAAATTTGATGTTACATGTTAAAAAGTTGCATCAGAAAAGCAAGAATTTATCATAGAATTTATCATTTGAATCAAGATCAAGATTCGAGACAATGTATACGGTACTTTGCTAACCAATGCAACTATAACAGTAAACTAATATTCCAACTTGCTTTACGAACGTCTGAAAAGTTTCATTCCGCGTCATTAGCTGTTGCATGACCGCATGACGCGGAATGTTGTTGAGCGGAAAAGGTGATCAGGCGGGAAGGAAAAAAAAAAGTGACCGATCAAAGGCATGACACGGATTAATTTAAATTACGTCGACGCCCCACGTACAAGCGTGATACGCACGAAACTGCACCTCTGCATCTGGGGGGTACCTTAGGTTCGCCAGAGCGTCCACACGGGAGAATCGAAGGGAGTGAGAGCCGGATGATGATGGTGGGGGCATCAGCAGAAGGGGAAGAGGCAAGCAACCTGAGAGAAGAGAATCCAGTAACCTAGTGCCGAGTCGCCTGGAGGTCTGCAAAAACAAAAGAGATGTGCGTGCCACGTGCCCCATGCGCCGCCGATCCCCCGATATCTCGCGATTAGCGCCGGTGCTTTGCAGCGACTTCTTACGGCTTCGCGATCTCTCGCGGCTTCCAAGAAAGGGTGGAATTACTCGCAGATCGTGACGAAAATATTAATAACCGTCACTGCAATTAAAAAAGAAAAAAAAAAAAAAAAAAATGATGAATTAATAATGCACACACGAGCATTATTTTTTTATTTGTTGAAAGACGCATTTTCGATTGCTCCCTCCTTCTCAATTTTACACTCGTTATTTTCATTTGTAAAATTCGATGCAACACACGTGACGAGAAAAATAATTCGGGAACGCTTAACAAATAACGACGGAGAATAGTAATATTAATACTAATAACAAAGTAATAATAAGAAGAAGAAGAATAGAGCAATAAATTGGAAGACGCGAGACATCAACTTTATTGTTTTCTCCTAAGGCTAAGGCTAATCGCAGTGTAATTAATGATTGCGGGTAAAGTCCGTAGAAAATATCTGACTTGTGAAAATATCTTGGCCTTTCTCTATAAATAGACGGTATAGAGCATCTTCGAAGAAATATGCTGTATTATAATTGTACTATACTTACCACGTGCAGCGCACAATAAGCTATACGTACTTTTGTCTGATTCGTTCATATTTATCTTTACTTATCTTTATTTATCTTTACTTTTGTACATGTCGTGTAAAAGTCTAAAAGAAAGCTTTTTATCAAATGCGATATATTGAAATAAAGGAATCGATCTTTCAAAAGGACCAAAAAGACGGCGGTGCAGAAGAAAAGGGGCGGAAAAAGAGCATCGCATTTAGAAATGACTCAATCGTAGAAAGTTGAGAAGTCGTTCACGGACGACAAAATACTTCTATTGCATTATTCTTGAAGGCCAGCACAAAGGAAGCGGTGAAGGAGGTGACATGACAAAAAGGGCTACCCGCCAACGCTCAGTGGCCGTTTCACATTCTTTATTTTTCTCGCACTTACCATTTTGTTTCATACAAAAAAAAGAGAAAACAAACAACTACGATTTACCTACGATTCGCACGGGAGCGGAAGGAAAAATTAATTTAAGAAACAGCTTGCGGAATTCGAGATTTCTGACTAACAACGTGGATCTTAGTCGGGGTAACGTTCAGACGCGCAACGACACAATTGCGGCGTGATTCGTGTTAATTAACCCTCGGTATACCGTTAGAAGCCAATTTTAGCTTTCGAGTTTCTTTTGCGAACAATCCGTAAACTATTCTCTGTAGATATCTCTGTAAATTATTCGTAACACCGCTTAAAAATAAAAGAAAACGGGCCTATTGAATAGCACGGATCCAGAACAGATCCAGATAGTAAAAGACGATTTTTCTGGTGTACTGAGGATTAACGATAAAAATTATCGACGCGCTCTTCCGAACGTAACCTCAAGTAACGAACTCTTATCGGCCTACAGATCGTTGTGTTCCAATAGAGAAAGGTCACGAGGATCATGACGAGGAGAGAGAGATATATGATACAGTGAGCTCTCGCGGTAGACCGCGAGCGTCTCTCGGTTATATATCGAAGTCATCGATTTCTCGAAATAAAAGGTACAAAAATATATATTTATTTGTATTTATGTGTATATATATCTCTTTTTTATCTCTTTCTTCGCTTCTCCTTCAGTCCCGCTTGTCTCTCGCATACGCATTTGTACTAAGAAAAAAAGGAAAAAAAAAAAAGAAAACATCCTTCCCCGTGCACACACACGTTCGTCTCTTTACTCGCTAAGAGAAGACGCATATCTCTGACTGCCTCCTTTCGTTCGTCGTTCTCGCTTTCACACTCATCATCCTCATTTGCGGAGCTCGATGCAACGATTAAGAGCCGCGAGAGAAAGAGTCCCGAAACACTTAACGAGTAACAATGGAAAACAAGAATAATATTAATAATAATAATAGAATAATTATAATAATACAATAATAATGATAAAAATAATAAGATTGGTAAAAAAGAATAATAATTAGAGTAATAATTAAAGAATAAAGACAAAACAAACGTTTACCTATATGCTACTCGATCGTGTGGTAATTAAAAGAAATACGGTAACTCGTACACATATACGTAGATGAAGAAGACGCACTCACGAAGGAGCACGGCTGTAATGTTTCTGTCCGTGTGTATGCGTATTTTGTGCGTGTACGCATGTGTGCGTCTGTGTGTGTGTGTGTATGTACGTGTATGTATGTATATTGTGCATACCCGTGTGCGAGAGCGAGCTGCAGTGAGCTCGCGCACCAAGCGAATCGATGTATGCGAGGAATGCAAAGTACGCGGTCGTCGTGGTTCGAAACGCGCGTATCGCGCATTACAACACAGCCGATGGAAAAGAAGTTATGTGTAACAATGCGCGACCGGCGCATGCGACCGCTTCCTGATAATATCGGGGGTAATGCCTGATCGATTTCGCGCATACTCCCGAACGGCAACCGCCATGCATCGCGTGAGAGCGAACGACGCACTCGTGCAATTTTCTGCGTAAAAAGCACTTTTTCGGAAGTTGCTTTCGAAAAACCTTACCTCGAAAAACACTGCCACTTTCAGGTTCAAAAACTCATAAGATACTTCTATTAAAAGAATGTGCGAAATATGTTAAAATTTTGAAAAGTATATATTTGTTTCATATCAAGTGGTTACAAAAAATCAAATAAAATGCCAAATAAAATGCTAAATAAAATGTTTGATTAAAACTCGAATTATTCCAAATAATCATCCGTACTTTGACATTCCATACATATACTACTTCCATATCTAACAGATTTGTCGACTAATTCGGAGACAATTTTTTTGTTTTATGAAAGTAGCATGTTACATTTATCGCAGCCTTTTGTATCATTTTTAGCATTACACATTACTAATCAATTGAATATGATGTATCTGAAAAAAACCTAGTGAAAATGAGCTAATTTGAAATCTTTAATGACTTCAAGAATGAATATTACCAATTATGTCTAAATTATATCGCTAAAATAATGATTACTTAAAAAAAAAACAAGCTCTAATATTTACTTGTTGAAATTCGCCAAAACTAGTTGTTCTGCTGACATATCTAATTTCTCTTCCATTTTGATAACGCGATATGTGAAACGGTTATCGACAAACAAATCGGCAAATAAAACTTCTGCGGCAAAACTCTGTGCAGAGAAGATCGATCTCATTGACGGTGCGTGATTTAATGTTTCGTTTAAATTTAGCTGCATAATTCTCAGCGACTTGTATAACATGAATACTAAAAAGCCGCGTCGTAGATAGAAACCGAGTTTTCTTGAATAATCAGTTCTGTATTATTTTCCACATCCGGTGTCCGGCGGTATCATCGGAACTCGAGGTAAGAGAAGAAAGATACAGTAACGGTGGCCGTATATCGTGACAGCCGGTGATAGTGTAGCGATAACGGTAATGGTGCGATGTTCGCTCGCGCAAATGTCCTGGCCGGTGGCGGACAGTAGCGGCTAGTATAGTAGCGGCAGCAGTAATAATAAAGTAGCGTTAAACAGTAACAACAGGACTGTTCTCTCGGCGATAACCGAGGCTGAAGCGTCGCTCTTCTCGTGACGCTTAGCATCCGCGTGACGCTATCTTAACACATGATATAAATAAAAGAAGGAAGGGGGAAAATAGCATTTAATCATGTTACAATCGGCAGTGTACGGCGCGAACGTGACGAAAACGAGCACGATTCCTCCTGGCTGTCCGCCTTCCACTCCTCAAGAGTCGCGTGCCTTCGCGAGAGACCGCGGGCGAGACGAAGGAAGAGAAGAAGCGACTAGGTGGCGAATTTCCATGGCAGTGTAAAATTCCCTGGTCCTTTCATTGTCGAGTGGGCTTCACCGTCTTCGTGTTTCCTATCGGAGCTAAGTACGATGAAGCGACTCGACGGCAGTGATGTTGTTGCTGGTCGGCTCCTGAAATAGCAAAATTCAAATTCAAATCATTAACAATAATAAAAACATCATTATTGATATAAAAACAAACTGCGCGTTGCGAGATATGCAAAGTCGTGAATAAACACACTATTACCGCGGCGATTAGCATTTGTTCGAATGATTCAAGTTATATCGGCGATCTGCTTGTCACCTATTTTCGTATCATCTGCGAAAGTCATAAAGTGATAACGAAGTGTGTCTATTTATAAATTTTCTATCCATCAATATATATTCGCACGATCGATGTGTAAATGCGAAATATTGGTTAACGTTAAGTGTCCACGCGGCAAAATGCCACGTACTGATATCCTGCTTACGTCAGTAGAAAAAATTAAAAGTATGACAGACGCGTGTTCGAGGGGGGTGCAGGGTGATACAGCAAAGGTGTATAGTGGGTGTCACGCCGGAGCGGGAGGGGGGAAGGAGGGAGGGGGGGGGAGAGAAACGAGCGGCGGGATATCCTGATCTCAGCGAAGGCCGCCCGGTGCATTCTAGGCGGGCAAAAACTGCATAGGAAACCACGCCCTGGCAGACCGATCGTGTGTCCTCAGGGACAATTTGCCGGCGTGGCGCAACTATCCGCGGCGTCGTTCAACGTCGCGCGGATCACTCGCGCGTCCCATTCATTCGCGCGTCTACGCGTTTTCTCACAGCCGTCCGCGTGCGGGAGCACGCGTTCCGCACGCAGGTAAAATGTCGTAAAGATGCGCGGTGACAGCGTTTGCGACGCGCGATAGGTGGATTGGAATGCGCAAACGCGCACGTGTACGCGAAACGTGTGCACGGAGATGCAAAACAGACGGCTCGAGTAACTCGTTTAGCTCATGTCCTGCCTACTTGAGACCGACCACCTACCCACCGTCAGCCTACCTGTCTACGCCTCGCTGTGCACTCGCTAGGCGAACGGGCACACTTTATCGCTAATCGATATAATACATCTTCCGACCGCGGTAGCTAGCGAGCGTAAACGCGTTCGCGCCGGACGGCCTTCGTGACGATTTCGCCGAGGTCGCGTTACTCGATCGATCCTCTTTTTTTTTTTCTTTCTTTATCGCTACGTCGTCACGGAAGAGCGAAGGGGAATTCGTGGAACGGAGCCGCGGAAGAGAAGCCGCTGTCGTGAATAATCTCGATACGGGACATATCGCGATCTCTCGTTACAATCAACGGATCGGCAGGAAACGCGTTCGCACGGCAGCAATACGGCGCGACGTCGATCGAAGGATGAAGGCAAGCTGGGAAAAGCGATTTTGATCATACTAATTCGCGTTTTGGAACAAGCAATTTCAGGAAAAAGGTAAATTATCCGAAAAGTGTCTAAAAGATGTGCATGTCATCACGCATGAATAGCGTAAAACGAAAAAGAATGTTTGAAAAAGGTTTGAAAAAGAAGGATTATGTAAAAGTTAATAAACTCCTAATTCCCAATTCATTGTTAACTCGTTAAGATTTTAGTATTTTCTTTTGAACAGTCAAAGAAGATAAAAAAACTTTTCAACATTATGATCTGAGGTCGATATCCCGCTGCGAAAAAAGGCTTCGACCGATGAACGTTATTCGAACTCGATTCAAAGAAAACATCAGTCACCTGAAGTAGACACGTCGAAACTAGGAACAGTTATTCGAGAGCGAAGGGTTTCACTTACGCTTTCTAACTCTTGGCCATTTCTGGGCCAAGTTCAGCCGAAAATGTGTCATGAAACGCCAGTTTGCTCGAGAGAAAGCACTCTTGAAGCAACGACGACGGCAGCGGCGGTGAGCCTAGGCCAAGATCAGCTAACGCGGAGAAAGAGAAAATAACGAGAGGCACAGGCGTATGCACTCTCTCTTCCTTCTTCGGATAGTACGTCGCGCATGCACGCACTCACACGCGCGCGCGCGCGCGCGCGTGCGAGGGAGGGTCCAAGGCGGACAAGAGAGGAACGAATGGCCAGGCTTGGGTCCGCCGGAAAAATAAGACTAGGCAGACCAGAGCGCAGTCCGTTAGACCGCCTCCCGTTCTCTCTCTTTCTCCCTTTGCGCTCTCATCCGACGGGTGAGAGCAAGAGATAGACCCGCCGGTCTGTGCACGTGCCGTTCGTGTATACACGTGTTGCACATTGACGGGGGAGAGAAAGAGAAAGAGCACGTAACCTAAGGCACCAGAAGAATCCGTGGCTCCGGGCATGGCGCTGCAGTTTGCCCCTGAACTTGGTTCTCGGACTCGCCCACTCGACGTTGACCCACTTTCGTGGCTTCACCTCAACCCGTATACACCCGCCGATATCTCGTGAGCTCCTCGCACTGATTTTCTCACCACGCGGCCTAGACTCTCCGATCGCATTTCGCTGCTCCAGATACGCCGCGCGAGTTGCACGCCGATCGGCTTACTCGCGTATCGCGAGCCCTCGTTACCGCCGGCCGGCTTCACGCCTCCGCGTATCACCCAGGAAGCACTGAGCGCCTCCTCGACGAGCAATGAATCTCCCGAGACGTCGCGATAACGCTTCCAGCTATCCTCGATCACCCCCCACAGAATCTGCCGATCGAGAAGGATCAGCGCGATTAGCGTGTCGACTCGCGGGGGCGTTATCCGTTATCTCGCGCGTTATCCTCGCGTCCGAGTGAAACGCGCATTCGCGATAAATGCGACAGCGCGACGCGGACACACGAGAGACGGTCGTCTATCTCGCAGGGCCGGCCGGGGGACGGCCGTGTCACACTCGCCGGATTAGACGTGGCGGCAGCAATGCGCAAGTACGCCGAGATAATCATTGGTTTATATAACAAGTCATTTCCCGCAGCCACGTGATTTTCCCGTCAAGGCGATCCGCTCACCATCACCAACGCCGACGGCACTTCTACCACCATAGATCATCGTGCAGTACCATTGCGCGAGTACAATTGCCTAGAAGACCTCTGCCTTGGTTAAAATGTCCGCGTGGAGATATCGCCGTGATTGGCCCATTTTCATCCTCGGGCGCATAGTCATTGATATATGTCAATTATCGCACCAAGGATAGTTATAACCATCGAGGAAGTGTGCGATGATTATTTATTTTTGCGGCATTAGTGTGCTCTTGGTCGTCTATAATGAGGTATCATCAGTAATCTCGTCTTTTGCTGTTAAAATTCTTTTTTTTTTTTTTTTTTTTTTACTACGAATACACCGCAAGAAAACATTCGGGTAATTTTTTAATTACGAAGCAGGAGAAAGAATAATTTCATGTCTAAGTCGAAGTCTATCTTTATCTGATATTGACGAAATATTGATACGATATTTCGAAATTGAAATTATTCGCGGATTAATAAAGATTGGAATAAAATGTAAAAGGCTAATTTGTGAAAATTGTATAATAATATTGTACAATAAATGCATTCGTGTAGCTAAACAATTACTTATTCTCGAAATGCATTACATATGCACTGTCGACAACGTTCAGTATAATAAGCGTCTCGTTAACGATGTAACGCTTGTAATTAAAGTACTTTAAATGTTATTATGTATGGAACTTGACATAAGATGCAAGATAATCGTCGATTGCAGCTCACAATTTAAATAAATTTTTTGAAAGACAATCTGTATTTATCTCCCATCTATTTACTACCACTAAATATATTTCTATCTCATTTGTATCTCATATGCTGAAGACCTTTCGATAGTCGAAACGTTCTAGCTGGAACGACTAGCTACGATCGGAGCATCAACGATCGACACACGTGCGCCGGCCAAAGGAGCGGGAATTTCAACGGCGCACTGCCGTTTATCTCGAAGGGTTTAAGGCCGATTCCGCGGACTTCGTCTTCGTAGGTGTTGCGAGAGACCGATGCATTCCATAGAACGCCGGTAATGGAACGCTAAAGAAGCTGCTGCTCGAGACCCGTGCATCGCGAGAATGAGCTGAGGAGAGAGAAAGAGGAGGAGAAAGAGAAACGGAGAAAGAGACAGGGGCAAAGAGAACGAGAGAGGACGACGAAGATAAAGACAGTGAGCGAGTGTGTGAAAGAAAGAGCTAGAAGAAAGAAAGAGAAGGATGGAGAAGGAGAGAAGGAGTCGAGGCAAAGGTGGTCTTACCGCCGTAAATGCCACTGGTTGGCATTATGCCGCTTGCCTGGTCAGACCTTCGATGCATCGAACACATCCTAAGATGCCGCCCGATGATGACTGCCTGGTATAATCGTGATATCGTTCTTTCATAGGAGACAGCTAACGCGGCGCGTGTTACTGTCGGCCGCTCCGAGGGAATTTCGTGTTGCACGAGCCGCGCGACGACGGCCCTGGCCCATTTACCCTTAGGCTAAAGCTGGAGTCGCTCCGCAACACGGACGATATTGGCCTTTCGAAAAATTTTTTTTCGCGCCTGCTCGCTCGGATGACTCGTGCCGAGAAAGGTCGGCGGTTATCGAACGGGAAGGATTCCTTTATCGCGTGAATAGCACACTTCGAGCCGCGCGCGAGGACGGTGGATGGCCGCGGTTGCCGCGAATATACTAATATCGAAAGACGGTCGCGCCGCGAATGCGACAAGATCGCGCGGAGATAAAATCGAGATACCGTCGCGTCGCGCACAGGTAATATAATTTTCTCGACTCCTCCGTCTCTCGGATTCGGTCGCTCGTTGTTGCCGGTGGCAGATGAAGGACGCTACAAACGGCTGTAGCAGGCGATTATGATAGCGCAAGGTTAAGCATCGTGCGCGAGGCAGGAAGGCGATCGTCAGGGAAGCGGCGAGATGAGGGAGCAGAGGATTTTCGAGGGCCGACCAGATGCGGCGAACTGCAAGAAAACTGGGGAGAATCCGTGGAATGTCGAATTAAACCTGCGGCCCGCGGGCCCGGCGTAGTTCATCGAGCGTAATCTCGAATAGGACAGCCCAATCGCGTGTTATTCCAGCCAACTACACGACTATAAACGGCCACGCGTACTCCCCGGCTCCCATAGGAGAGTAGAGGAGTCCGAGTAGATACGAGGTGAACGAACCTCCGAATCTCCTGGACACAAGGAAAAAGGAAGGAGAACCGCCGAAAAAAAGAGGCGACCACAGCGGGAGAGGACGATGTGGGAAACGAGGGGGAGGGGGGGGGGGAGGAGAAGAAGGAGAGATGGGGCGCAGAAGAACGGGGAAGGTGGAGGAGACGGATGATCATGGATGCTCGTTAGAAAGAGATAGGGTGGCGGGAAGGAGGTGACGGGAGAATAGCCGGTGTCTACGATCGAATGCCGCGCGATCTTCTCTCATGCGTCGTAGAAACGCATATTTACGTATTATCAGCGTCCCTGTATGTGTGTTAAACCGATTGTATTGCGCACTCGTTCGGCACACCGAACGGAGAATATCGGGACTTGATGATTCGCCCTCACCCCCCCTCTTCTTCGCGACATTAATTGTAACTGAGTGCGGCGATTCTATTTACTATAATTTATGCCAAATGTCAGCTACTCGATCGTTAATGAACGATAACGAGTACGGTGTTTTCAATCTTGAAACAATCTCGTTCAGATCATATCAGACAGACACATGACGATAGCGTATGCCAAAGAAGACAAGGAGGAGACACCGTGCGTGGAGCACTTTTGAGCCATTCGGAGATAATTATAATTATAGTCGTGTATGCCGCCATATATGCCGTGATACGTCGGAAAATTTCATCTACCGTTATACAGAGTGAAGAAGAATGTGCTAGATTAGAGCATTCCAAAACGTGAACATTCTTTTAATAATAGATTTTCTCATCAATTTCAAATCGATTTTTCCCCAACGAAAACTTCGAAGAAGTAAGTCTCTTATAACAAATGAACAAAAAAGATTTTTTTTAATATTCTTGAGTAATTTTTCAATAGACCTTTACTTTGATAACATTACAATTTAAAGCTTAGTTAAAAACATATGTGTTAAAAATTAAAAAATGCAATAAATAATGATGTTTTTTCAAAGTGAATATTAACTTCGAAATAATCGGAAAATTTGTTATTAAAAGAATGTTCATAAGTTTTTGGGAACATCTAGTAATAAATTACATGATATGTGATACGGAATCTATAAAAAATATTAAAAGAGAATAGTTTCTTAAATTTGATTTTAGTATAGACGCGCTTTATTCCGTTCTATTGTAGAAAATATAAAAAAAATTAACATAATCTTAGATTACAATCAAACTGACATCGTTGAAATAAATTATGATGAAATGGAATCTCGAATTAACAATATCTCTCAGATGCGTACGCAGTCGACGGAGAATTGATCGGCTATTCGAAGGAAAATGATGAAAGGAAACGCGCGAAAGGCGAAGGACTGAGAGTATTAACGCCAACCGTTCACCAAATAAAGTCTGCCTCAGTTTTTCGTTCTGCGCATCGAGGAGAATCCGCGTCGTACGCACGGGCCGCACGAGTGGCCACCGTCGCGCGCATCCGATCACGTTCCACCAAATTCAGATACGACAGAACTGCCCCATTGTTATTCAAGGTGCGCCGTCCGCGCAGATGTCTGCCTGCCAAAATCCGCGCGAGCTCGTCTACCGCGCGGGTTCGATAGCACCACGCACCGGCGCCTCCTCGTTCTAAAACCACGATCGATGCGTCACGATCGTGGAACGAGGGGTTCCGATTCGGTACGCCTATTACAGCCCGGGGGGAGAAACGGGACGCGAGAGGGAGGGAGACGGATGACGGTGCGACACGAGGAGAGGAGAAACCGCGCGTGCGAGCAAGAGAGAAATGAAAGAATGTGCGAGTACGCGCCAGAGCGAGAGAGAGACGATTGGCATGCAGGTCGCGCGGTATGTTGTCCTAGGTCACGCGTGATCTCTCTCTTCTTCTCCCATCTCCCCCCCCCTCCCTCCCCGCCCCTCCCCCCTTGCCATTCTGTCTCTTTCCCACCTTCCTCTCTCGCTCTGCCATCCCCGGTATTTTCTGCGCGGCAGCAGCAACATTCTATCTTCGCAACTTCTATTTGCCTATTATTCCCGGTAATAAGATCGTACGGCGAGGCAAACATTACGACGGCGGATAAACGGAAGCGGTTCGAAATTACAACCGGCGACGGCGCCTCCGGTGCGCGCCGCGCATTAAGCAAGGGAATGGAGTCCTCCGTCTCTCTTTTTCGCGTCCCTCCTGGGATGCGCGCAATGCTATTTGTACACAAGAGTCTACGAGAGTAGCGCCGATTGTCTCGCGAGTTCGCGCGCGTTTAAGCATTCGTGCCGATGGCTGAGACAGTGAGAAGACAAGCGCGTACGCGCTGATCTAAGAAATATACTATCTGCCGCGCGTACACGTTGACACGCTTCCTCGCATCATGATTTATGCCAAAATGATGGATCTATCGTCAGTCGGAGGAGTAGAGACATGGAACTACAATTCTTCAAATGTAATTTCGAAAATGCATCGCGATCCAGCTTTCAGCGTACGAATATTCGTCGAGTAATCACGGCAAATTGCCGCGCCGTTCTCGCGTACACCACCTCGCGCGCGCGCGCGCGCGCGAGAGAGCTAACGAACGGTTTGGGACGCACCCGGAAGAGGTTCGGTGTACGCGGGCCGCACGACCGCGCAGAAGAAAACCTTGAGGAATCTGCCCACGTCCGCTCGCGATCGAACCGCTCTCTTATCGACGCGATCGCTTTCATTTCTCACGGAAGTCAACGAGATCGGCTGAGGAAATCTCGAGGAATCGCATCGGCCGTTCGCGGAAAAAAAAAGGGAGCCGAGTCGCGCGTATCGCGGCCTCTTTCCGCGAAAACCTAGGGGTTCCCTCGAAACGGTCGTCGAAGAGGAAGAGGCACGGTGGCTGACCGAGCGGACTTGACTGAGCGAACGGACGAGCGAAGGAACGATCACTTATTCCTGACGAGGAGGGCACGATCGACGGTGTACGCGTGCGAGCGGGACGGTGAATGCCCAAAACTCTCAGGTGGTGTCAATGAACTCGGCCATGTGAGGAGTCGGCCGGGGCCTCCTCCTCGGCTATACCCACTATATCGGGGTCTTGTCTTTCCCATGGGACCGAGACTAATTTCGTGACTTTGCGAAAGCGACGCGGCGCGCGCGCTCACTCGCTCGTGCTCGCGTGTACTCGCGAGCCGATAACGCCGAGCGTGCAGACGGGCAGCGCGCGAATTTCTAGAGCGACCTGTTTCCGAGACCTTTATTTACGCTATGATTATCCGTCGGCGATTGTCGCGTGTGCGTGATCGCGTCGCGCGCCTACACGTACCGGATATTCCACACATACCGACGCGCGATTTTATCTCGATCGCGATTAGATACGTAGTATATCATTAAACGCTTCGCAAGCGAGGGTGTAAAAAATTGGGAAACTTGCCGGCGGAGTGTGTCTTAATTAAAAATTTATTTAAGCCAAAAATCTGTTGCTGAAAGAAATATCTTCGTAGACATTTAATACATATGTATGTATATTTCAGCGAATGACGAAAGGTTTTACTAGAATTTACGTGTATCAACTTATCAGCAAATCAGTGCGTCTCGCTTCAAATGCTTCTTATCAAATCTATCTCTCTGGCGAAAAGAATGCGTAGCTGGGAATAAGGTGATGCCATAGATTCTCTAATTGCATATCTAGGAACATATTCGGATCATTATGCCGAGGTTAATGGTCTACGCACTGAATCCCGGAGCGGCACCTGCTTGTAATCGCGATAGAAAAACCGGGTGGAGGGAACATGTACGCGAGCGCGCGGGATCGCCGGTCTAACGTTAAATCTCACGTCTGTCAAAATTAGACAAGCGGTAGTAGCCGCAGGATTCTATCAAGAGCCTCCTACCTCATCTCGTCGCGTCGGATTGTGGTAACCAATGCGTCGCGGGCATGGTGTTAGGTGTCGATAGGATGACGTGACGTAACGTTAAGGAATCAGACGGTCCCTCCTCTCGTAAGCCCTCTCCTGCCCCGCTCCCTCTTGCCCGTTCCTTTTAACCGTCTCTCTCCCCCCCCCCTTACGCCTCTTCCTCCTTTTGGATCGTCGGTCATGCGCGGGTCAGCGAATCTTCGAAGAGGTCTTCCTCCCTTCTTTTGCAACCTCGGCGCGACCGCGGTTACGTCGAAAGCGGCGTGAGAGGAGAAGGTGAATCGGAGTGAGATGGAGCGAGACTCGCGCGGGAGGAGGTGGGAGAGGGTTGACCGCCGAAAGAGTAGCGCCGCGAGTAGTCGCGGCCCGATCACGAGCTCGAGCGAATCACTGCCATAGATTACGTAACTATGGTGATCACGTGCGAGTAGACCAAGCTGCGCAATTGTAATCAACGCGAACTCAGCCGATAAAATTCATTATAGGAATGGAAGCCTGGTTGTGACGAAAAATCCTCGCGGTAATTTAAATTCGCAGTTAGATTAATTATCGATTAATTATATAACAAAATATAATATTGATAGATTAATTAGATGACAAAAAAAAAACTCACCCTGTATTTAGGCAGATTCGGCATCTTTATTGACTTTTCACATTTATATGGAGTATCCGATGTCGTCCTTTGCGAATATGGATGCTCCATCTCAGTCTCCTCAGGGTGGAGGACGAAACTTCCTCTTTTCCTCTCACTTGTTCCATCGTCGACTGATACCACCGATGCATTAAAATGATTCGCTCCGGGTTTCGGAGACTTTACTATATTTAGTATTGTCCGGTCGGATCCAGACCCTCGATAGCAGCCATGTCGCGACCTTGAAGCGTTTCTCGTGACTTTGCTGCTTCCTTCCGGAAATTCCCCGACCTTCCTTCACCTACTCAATACTGCCCGGTTGGATCGAGTCCAGCCATGATGCACTGTTTTATATGACTGAACACCTTCAGAAAGATGTATGAACAGCCTGAAGAAACGCAGTTATTCGTCGGCATTTCAGTACAGACCGGTGGGGTCCAATCCTTTTGCCATGTCGACGATAATGATCCTCAGCAACACTGAAAGCGGAAGTGTGTAGCTGCTCGATCGCGGGGAAAAACGTCTTCAGTAGAGACCAGTGGGGTCCAACTGCCGAGCCATATCTTCTTACTCGGCTCCCTTCGAAAGCTACCGGAGCGTTGCAGGCACTTCTGACACTTGGAGTATCCTGGATCGGTCTGCTCCTCAATTCACGTCTCTGATTTATCGAAAATCTTCGATCGTACGTGCTGCCGAACGAAGCGATTCGTCGATGTTCACTAGATGAGATCAATCCCAAATACAGCTGATCGATCGTAAAACCGTAAGAGAAGCTCGCGAAGAGTGCTGCGCGATTCGCAGCCAACAATCAACGAAGTGGATGCCGGAAAAACTAAAGGACCGGCTGCTGCGTGCGTGACCGTGCCCCACAGAGCTCTGACAGCTCCACGGCGAGTGGCCTCGCTTTAAGTCTCGGTTCGCTTAAGCCCCCACCTGTCCGACCAGGGGGCAACGCCGATTGGCCGTTGCTGCCGGCTACAGCTACAATTGGCACTCCGATCGAGCTTTCGGAAAATTTCCCCCGATATATCGTTCAGTTCACAAGCCCAACCCCCACGGGTTCGTATGGGGCCTCGATGTGGGGAGAAAAGCGCCCGAACCAGGAACGAGAGAGAATCTGGGAAAGAGAGGAGGGTACCATCGGACTAATCTTTCAAGGAATTTTTCGGGGTCTGTTCACCAATGATCGCCAGTGACATAGTCGCACAGGTGCACATTTGAACATGCTGAGTGTTCATTGGGTATAGAGATTATCGAAAAAAAGGCCGGATGACCAGATCCTTGACCGGTCCGAACGCATAGCTCAGGCAGTAGATTGCCGTGTACGGTTGACACTCATGATAATTATTCGTTTTCTAATAATTGCAATTTTACCGTTAAAACATTTATTCATGCTTACTACAAATATAATTTTTTTTCTATAACAATGTATATAAAAATACAAATTTTAAATAAGTTATGTCTATACCGAAACTATTTTATTATCAAAAGCGTTGGCGGAATTGCTACATCGTTCTCTAACACCATTTCCAGTGTGGCGTTAAGTAGTAGATTCATTGCCTTACGCGAAATCGATCCTGGAATTATCGTTTTAGAAGCCATATATACGAGCTACGAAATGTCACCAATTTAACGACTTTCCAATACAATATTTATGACTATTTGTATATCTTATCCATTAATTGAATTTTTACCTTGCAAGTGATATCAGAAACGAATAAATTTTGCAGTAAGAATGCATGTCTTCGTCAAAACAAAAAAAAATGTTTAAAGAAGATGTGCTGACTTTAATTTATTATTATTGTCAACATTACTAGCCGTGTATAGAATTCTAAAGTTGTCATAAGTAGATTTATATTGTGTTATATTAAATCATGATGTAGAATAGTAACGATATATCATTTCCGATGCAGGAAAACCACATCCTGCATATATAGGAAAGTCCTGTAGGATAATCATTTTCCAATAAGCTCATTAATTAACTGTCATTATTGTTCTCATCTTCATTATTGTCTTTTTTTACGTCTATTCATAAAATGCTCCAAAAATGGTAACAAATTTATTAAAATTAAAAAAAAATTCAATAAAATTGAAGAAATTTAAAACCGAAAAAATACAAAACTACATAATATTAAAGTTAATATGAGCTAAACCACGAACAATGTGACTTAAAAAATCAATAATAAAACTGTTCGAGTAATAATGAAATTTTAATTATGTGCAGACAATCAAAACACATTGCATAAAAAAATTTATTATTGATACTACAATATTAACTCGATTCAATGTTGCATTATTATTAATATTTTAAGACCTTAATAATATTTTTTACAAGATTTTAATTTAAATAATTTTATGCTAATTGTTTAAGAGTGCTTTTCTTATCACTAGTATATACAATCGAGTTAATGTACTGGTTTTTTCGCCGCTGCGATAAAATTATCTCGCGCAGTAAGAAAACCGCTTGTATGCATGAAATGAAAGAATGGTGATTGCATATGCTAAAGTGTTTATTACACATTGAGATTACTCTTAAGCGGATTAACAGCGTGGCCCACAGAAGTTATTCTCTTTAGTCTTGATTGACATAACAGCTGCAATATGTCCTCTTGTTTATGCATGATAAATCAGGTCATCATCATTGTTCGTCGTTTGCATACTGCCATTATTTTCTAATAAAGTAAATTTGAATTTGTAAATTTTAATAATAATAACTAGAAAGTAGTGATTATTATTAAAATTCAATAAATAATGGCTTAATACGATATTAAAAATAGCGGTTAGAAAAAATATCCAATTTTCTAGCACTTCTAGCACTATTTCTAGAATTTTTAAAAATTTATTTAGTCTGCAAACAATATTAATATTGCAATTAAATTAATTGAGGAATTAATAATTGTAACTAAAGAATAGCTTTGTACAATATAACAAAATATATAGAATATAGATATTGAATTATATTCAAAATATAATTTATATTATATCTTGTTATATTATATTATATCTAAGTTTCTTGACAAGCGTTTTCCGCGACATGAAATAAAAATAGCATGGCTACTCTTCCCCTGCAAACGGTAGATTAAAATCCTGTTTTTCACTGATATCAAGGACGCGCATTTTTACACCTGCGTTTCATTTAATCTGCATGCGATCTAAATTAGCGAATTAAAGAGCTCATCCTCGCGGCGTTGATTTAATATGTAGCAACCTATCGCGTCGTCACTGCTCGCGCGTCGCAAAATTGCTCGCCCGTTGACGCGCACTGCATTAGAACGAAGAGGATGGCTTTAACGGAACGGAGAGGATGCGCGCATCTGATCGACCGACACAAATTGAAGCACGGTCCTGCCTATGGCCGTGTAGATACCTAGATACACCGCCGCGGTACTTGTGCAGATTGTAGTTTGTCGTCCGTCGTCGCTCGCGGCTACGACTTCGTGTTACTGGGATAAAAGGTGAATGACTCGTTGCTACTTGGTGCTTATCCCACCAGCAGCATCCCGCTTCGCGTTTGGAGGGGTAGCACGTCCTTCTGCTATGCCCGAGCGCGATAGACGCGAGCAGAACGGGAGAGAAGGAGAAGGCGAAGAAGCAACATCGCGAGAAGGAGGTAGATGGAAGGAGGTTGAGAAAGGAAGAGAGAAAGAGAAAGATACGGCGATCATAAATTACTTGATCATCTTCAAGGTTCGATTTGCAGGCCGCGTGCACCTCCTTGCTGCATCGCGACGTCATTAAAGCCCACTTTCGAAATAAAACGTTCGTTACGGCTTCGCCAAGCTTTCATATCGGCCGCACGTGAATATTGATTAGCGTTACGTTTGGCATTAGTAAATAAAGAGTTTAAAAATACGTGTCGCATCGTCAATATGCGGCACAAGTGCACACCGAGTGTACGTTTCACGTGTCAAATCGTCGAAATCGTCGATCGAATAATTTTCACCCGACAATTATAAAGCGCGGCTGTGCGTGCTTAATATCTACGATTGTATATTTCACGTCAGGCTTCACAATGATAGACATCTGAAAGTATTAATAAGTTGTACGAACAAGATAATCATAGCCTCCTTGCGTATGTGTTGTTATCTCTCTTATGTGCGTGCATCTTGTACATCATCGAGGATGTTACCAGGAATCGTGCAAAGTTATCTATTAATAATCCGACGTGCAATCAGATGTACTTGTATACAATACATTATATTGTTCGTAAGTATTGCTATTGCCGTATAAATATCAAGATACGTCAACAGTAGCTAAGACGCGGTAGCGTGTAAGAGCTTACAATTAGCTGCGATCAATCGCATGTGAAAGTATTGCAGTTCAGAAGAATTGCAGCTTATGGCTGAATTATATAATTACTGTTATCTAACGTTTGTAATCCTAATATATCAAATACATAGCTGACATCGTCGATATTTGGAACGTCAAAACTGTTTGCGAAATTACATTCAAGCTTCATCGTGTCGAGAGACATTTCAAAAATAATTATCGTTTGCTGAGTTTACTTCGAATATGCAGTGGCCGAGTCTTGCAACATATCAGACATCTTTTCGTCTGCGTTGCGCTTCTATACGCCACAACAGCGATTGTGCAAGATACAAACGACCTACCTACGTATCTACAGAGGTTTGCGCAACGAACAGCTTCGAAATGCCGTTCCGATGTGGATCTTCTACGAATTCGGCGCAGTAAATTCAATCAACTCGTTTGTGACGCCACATTGAATAAACCAGGAGTATCGCTGATGCAGTTAAAAGTATTTTCTGTTTATTGTTTTTAATAAAATATGATTTTTTTTGCAGCTGTGACAAAATGTTCGTTTCTCTTTTATCTATTTTTTACTAGTCATAGATTCTCTTTCTACGTTCTACTAGCTTTTAGTTAACTCCTAATTCGCAACGCAATAACTGCTTGTAACTTTTCGGATTATCAACCTTTTAAGATTCGAGGTAAATATGGCCGGACTGCTTTGAATTCTTCTGGATTTTTTTCTTTGGCATCATTAGATTATTCATAAAAAAAAAAAAAATAAAACCCGAATATTTAAATCTTTTTCAACCTCTGCATACCGCTGTAAGTTCAACAACTCCACCGTAGGGCATTTGTCATTTCATTAATCTTGTTCACGTACGTTCAGTAAAATGTTTTCAATTTCCATTTTGAACTTACGAAACAATAACTAATTAAAAACGATTGAAATCTGCAATGAGTATACAATTCCCAAATGAGTATACGTTCCCCAACAATAAAAATAATTATCATTGATTGGATTAAAAAATTTATTGTTGATTTTATCAAAATGACTTACTTTTTACTTCTTTATCAGTTAAAATTAAAAAAATTGAGCTATCTGATTGTAATTAATTCAAAGTCTACAAGTGTAAACAAGTTACTGTTTGCTATAATACCTTATTTAGAAATTACTGTGAGTATGAATGCTTTTCAACGCGAAACATATGCGATGCATCTAGCAATTTCCTTTAGCAGAGAAAACCAGTCTCTCACAGACACGAGTCTAATCAGGAAACGCGGCGCCTTATCAGCGCGCAGCGGCGGAGCCATCTCAGCCGTCGCAGTTAAGGAACGGCGATCTTAATCGCGCTGCGCTGCTATGATCCTAGGTCGCCGAAGGACTCGGAAGTCCAGACGCGCGTGGTATCACCGTCACGTTGTGCCGTGCCTCGAGTTGCTCCACTAGCGGATGGGAAAAAGTGAAAGACACTATGAGAGGAGGATGCGAAAGAAGCAGGGCAAAGAATCGGAGGGAAGGGTAGAGCGACGCGCCGAGAAAGGGAAGGAGAGAGATGGAGCGAGAAGGAACGAGGAAGAGAAGACGACGGCGAAGAGGGTGACGTCGGTGGAAAGGTGCGAAGGCGAGGGAGGACAGGAGGAACCGAGGATAAGGGGCGAAGGTGGGGAATATATAAAGAGGGAGGCGGAGGAAGAGAGGGAAAGAGGAACCAGAAAGGACGGAGAGTGAACCAGAGTGTAAGCGAGCAATTGAGAAGACGAGAAACGGAGAGAGAGAAACACAGAGAGAGAGAGAGAGAGAGAGAGAGAGAAGAAGTAGA